GTAATATTCTAATTTACTGAGATTGTGGATTTGGGATTTTCATGAGCTGTAAGCCATAATCATTGCACTTATGAGGAAACACAGCTTGAACTATCTTGCTTTGCATGTAATGCCTCTATCTCATATATTAGTTTCCCCTTTTACGTTGCATTACTGAAATAAATGAACTTTTGCACGATATTCAAATTTTTCAGTATCACCTGTATATAAGTCAATGGTAAGACAATGCAGTACTGGAAAAAAGTGCAGAAGCAAACTACAATATTAATAAACTGGTGAAATTTTTTTTTTATGAAGAAAGGCTATAAACTTCCATTGGTTTCGCTTACAGAAGAGGAAATGTTCTTTACATTAAGAACAATAAAGATGTGAAATCCTCTACCCAGTGAGATCTTTTATCAAATTCTGCAGATATTTTTTTAAGCTACTTGGATGTTTTTTGGAAAAACAATTTCTTCAAAACATTATAATGTACATAATAGGAGAACTCCTAATGGTATAATGTGTAATAATTGTTCACCGCTTCATATTGTGCTGCACTCTGTTGTCTGAGATATTTCCTTTTTGTTATTTCTACTAATTCATTTTCTGTCTAATCAAAGCACTGTGATGCAAAAGAATGGGCTGTGGTTTCACCATTTTATAGATGGTCTTTAAATTAAATTATGAAGGGTAACACTTATTCTATGACAGAATGTGTTGCAATGTAGGGAACTATAGTCTGTGTTACATGTTACAACATGTTCATTTCGATTCTTGATTTTCTGTAACCCTCTCTCTCCCTGCCCCCCACTGTAACCCCTTCTCTCCCTGCCACCCCACTGTAACCCTCTCTTCCCCGGCCCCCTTTCTCTCTCTGCCCCCCCCACTTAAACCCTCTCTCCGTGACCCCCACTGTAACCCTCTCTCTCACTGCCCCCCATTGTAACCCTTTCTCTCCCTGTCACCCCACTGTAAACCTTTCTCTCTCTGCACCCCAACTGTAACCCTTTCTCACCAAGCCCTCCCACTATAACTCTTTCTCACCTTCATCCCTACTGTAACCATTTCTCACACTACCCCCCACATTGTAGCCATTTCTCACCCCCACACAACACTGTCACCCTTTTTCACTTCCCCCACATTGTCACCCTTTGTCACCCCCCCACACAGTCACCCTTTCTCACACTGCCCTCCTAAGCTGTCACCAGCACACACATTCCCTCCCACACTGTCACCCTCACTTCCCCCACACACTGTCACCTTCATCTCCTGTCTCTGTGTGTATGTGTATCTGTGTGTCCTTTTGCGTCAGTGTGTGTGTATTTGTGTGTCCATGTGTGTCTGTGTACATGAGTGTCTGTGTATCTGTGTGTGGGAAACTAGGTGTTGTGTGTGTGTGTCTGTATGTATTGCTGTGTCAGTGTGTGTATTTTGGTGTCTGTGTATTTGCATGTCTGTCAGTGTGTGTTTCTGTATGTGTGTTTTATGTGTGAAAGTGTGTGTGGAAATGTATACACTGCACACAAATGCATACCAGCATACAAACACTAACATTCACACACATACTACATACAAAAACATGCTTACATTCAAACACATATTGTGTATATGTATATTTTTATATATAGACAATATACACACACTGCATCCACTACACATGCACTGAAATCATATGCAAACATTACATACAAACACACCCCTGTATTAAAACATTAAAATTATATACAAACACCCCTTCATTCAAACACCAACACTACACACAAAAGCACACCTGCATTTAAAGTCCAACACTACATACAAACACACCCCTGCATTCAGACATGAACACTACACACAAGTACACCACTAAATTCCAATGGCACCAGTACATACAAATACACCCATACATGCACACATATACTTCATACAAAAACATGCTTACATTCAAATGCTCAAACACTTCTCACAAATACAACCCTGCAACGATGGGCAAATGGTAGATCCCCAGCTGCCATAGCATTGTTGAAGTTCTAGGACAGATGAGGACCTTTTGGCCACAATTGCACTAGAGGGGTTCCAAGAAAACATACTTGCACCAGGGCCCTCTCTACATTAGTTGTACCACTGGGATACTCAACATGAGTTGCCTGGATGAAGGAGCAGAATAAAGCGCTTCTGAATCTGCAAGTAAGCAGTTTTATGCCTCTAAAACTGTTTTCCATGATATGCCAAGTTTCTGCCTTTAAAACTGCCATGATATGTCAAAAGTATGCCTCTAAAACTGCCATGATATGCCAATTATATGCATCTAAAGCTGATTGCCATGGTGTGCCAATTATATGCCTCTAAAGTGGATTGCCATTGTGTGCCAATTAGACATGTGCAATTCGTTTCGTTCCGAATGTACATTCGGATGAATTTAGTGCAATTCGGACATTTGGATGCTTACGAATGTCCGAAGTTCGAATTTCTGAAGTGGTGAACCGAACTAAATTGCCAAATTTCTGAATTGTGAAATTCCAAATTGCTGAAGTACTTTGGATTTCTGATAAGTGACAAAACAAGTGGTAAGGGTTAGGGGTTAGGGACAAAATAAGTGGTTAGGGTTAGGGGTTAGGGTTATGGTCCAAATTACTGAAGTTCTGAATTGCTGAAGTTCTGAATTGCCGAAGTGCCGAACCTAATCAAATGCCATTGGTCCGAATTGCTGAAACAGACTAATTGTTTTACTTACCCGAATTTCCGAACAGATATATATTTTTTGCCTATGCACATCTAACGTTGCCATGATGTGCAAAGTTTATGCATCTAAAAGTGGTTGCCATGATGTGCAATGTTTATGCATCTAAAAGTGATTGCCATGACGTGCCAAGTTTATGCATCTAAAAGTGATTGCCATGGTGTGCCAAATAATGCATCTAAAAGTGCCATGATTTTCTAGTTGTATGCATCTAAAGCTGATTGCCATAGTGTGTCAATTGTAGATATTTCCTTTTTGTTATTTCTACTAATTCCTTTTCTGTCTAATCAAAGCACTGCGATGCAAAAGAATGGGCTGTGGTTTCACCATTTTATAGATTGTCCTTAAAGTACAGTTTTCAAAAGTGGGAAGCCCTGGTCTACTTTATATGGTCCTTCTAAAAGAGATCAATGTTTACCCCTGGTAAATCACTTAAAAAGGATTTATATGGTAGAAACAATATTGAAAGTTGATATAGATCAGTGTGTTCCAGTACATGTTAAACATTTAAAATGCTAAATGCGTTAGCATCTCACATGAGTGCACAGAAGGTTAGTGTACAAACAGAAAGATATAGGCTTAGTGTTGAAATGTCTCTTGACTGAACGAAAGCTTGCTTAAAGATAGACTTTTGAGAGTTGTTAAAGAACTATTCTGTACTTGGACAAAACTGGAAAAATTCTACAAGTCAGCTATGCTTCTAAATCAGCTACCGGTCCGTAACCGGTTTACTCTGAGCACCATAATCACTTCTGTGATAAATATAGTCCTTATGTGAAGCTATCTCTATGAAATGCTGCACATACCGAGATTAACCCTTTTGCAGGGAGATACTGTTAGCAGTATCTTTGGGGCATCAGTATCTAGCGACTGGCTAATGTCAATCCTGTGCATATTTTCTATCAATTCAGCCAATAAATGGGCGATGAGATTGGCATCCAGCTTCTGCAGCACTGTAGAATCCAGATGCATCTTACCAGGCCACTGACAGGGGTGCAGATAAAAGAGAAAAAAATATTGCAAACTTGTTTGTCCAATTACTAGGGTACAAAGCTTGGGTACTCTTCACATCATAACCACTATACTATGCTTGAAGTAACCCTTTAAATTTGAAACTCACTTCGAAATCACTCTGAACTCCTGGCTAAATCCATTTACATGAGAGAGGTCCCCCAGAGGAAGGCTTCACAGCCAAAACATTGGGGTTTCATTTCTGCTGCTCTTGGTCAGTATACCTATTTTAATGGGTTTTTGCATTTAGCACTTTACTTACATTGTGGCTTTGGTACTATATACTGGTTTAGCACTTACTATGCACTTTCTCTCTGCTATAATAATAATAATCTTGTATTTTCTATACGTGAATAAATACTCTTTTTATGTGCAAAACCGTGGTGTGCCTTGGGATAATTTCTTATTTTTTTATTACATGTATATATCTGGTATGGGAACAGATTCTCTTCCTTTAAGAGCACCCTGTACCTTATAAACCACACACTTATTACCCATTTTTCAGTAGATCTCTTCCTGTCATTTTATGTTTGTAAATCCATTTACATCCTATTTAAACAAGTAGTCTTGTTCCAAACCTGTGCTAAGTTTTACCAGCTAGCTAGTGCTTGTCCATCGCTATAGGCCACACAGGGTGAAGTGCGCATGTGTGTTTTTGTGATTTACTGGTAAGCCACTAATATAGGATATATTAAGTTGATGTATGTAGCAAAAGCCATTAATAGTGATAAGCTACAAACATTTTGCAACAATTTGTAGCCACTACACATTACTGCCTGTTGTAATAGCATGGTTTATAAAAACTATAAGAATGTAATTTTTTGTGTGAATACAATGGACTAATTTTTTTTCAGGTTATTTTTGGTTATAGCTGGAGCATTGTATGGTTTTTTTCTTATGAACCATAATGTGATTAGATATAATTTACAATTCTGATATTGTATTTACAGTTTACGTTAAAACCATATATAATCTTAAAACAATAAAAATTTTCATTCCACTATTATAATAAAACTCACAAAACATTTTCTTAAGTTTTCATGTCAAACAATTCTTTATTATTATGATACAAATTAAAAGTGACAGATTTGAAGCTTTTAAGAAATACACAAAGTGCAGTTTTACTGACCATACAGATATTGCTCTAGATTAATTACAGGTTTTTTTTTTAATTTTTTATTTCAGTCTATAAAATTTTAAAGCAACCTGTGCAGTTAAATCAGCTTTGGTTTCAGTGTCAGAACAGTAAGGAGCTCACATGTATCAGTAATAGTATTCTTTTATCATATGATACACATGTCCACCCCGTTAAACTCCTTTTTCTTTTTTTGGAAAACACAATTTCTCACTCAGTGCTGTCTTTTCATATGTATGTTTAATGATAGGAATTATAAAAACTGCCTAAAAAGAGAAATCATAACAGATTATAAGCACATTTAAATGATAAAAAAAAAACTTTGGCTTTTAGCAGTGTAGTCATTTGTGTGGCACATACAAGGAAAACATTGAAAACAACTTTGTAAATTTTTATTTTGAGATAAAACCAAGCATATCAAATTAGATTTTCGACTTTTTCAGTGCTGTGATAGGATTGCAGCTCGAATGTGTACACTTTAGCACTCGAACGAAGTACTACATAGTCAGTTATCCAAGAAGAGTGAGGCAAAACATTGAGAAAAGTAAAACATTTATTTTCTAATTTTCTAAGGACAGTTTATTATTGCAGGATTGTCAGCATTATTTAACCATTTTAGACATTGTGCATATACCTACATACATTGAGCTTTGGTCCAGCATTAAAGTGAGCAAAAGGCATTTTTCAGGTTCTTTTTGGTTATAGCTTGAGTTTGTGATTTAGAAGCCTCTGTTTTATTTTATTTTATTTTTGTGCTCCATTGTTTGTCTTTGAAATGTTAAGAAACCAAAACGATTTTATTTCTGTAACTCTAACCTTTTTAAGAGCAGTGACCAAAACATTATAGTCATACCTGGATAACTTCAGAGTTTGACCCAAAGGCTTTGGATCTAAGAATTTGACAAATGTAGCATCATAAGCACATTTGCTCCTTGCATAGATATTGGTGCAAGGGGCTTCTTCATCCATTTCTTTTGATATTTGCTCATTATAGAGGTAATGATGGACAGGAGTCCATTCATAAACCCAATCTCGTTTAGTGATGTCAGAGAAGGTAACCATGTCTTCAAGCTAATAAATACTGCCATCCTGGCTCTAAATTGCAGGGAGATAGTTGGGTTACCAGATCTTAGAAGTTCCCAGTTATGACTACATTGCACACCACTCAGGTAGACAAATGTTTAAATGGTTAAAATTGTGGGTTTTGAGAAAATTATGACTGGTGTAGCTTATTCTTTTAAAAAATAATATTTTCTGTCTGTCCTACAGCAGCAGATCCTTGATGGCTTTTTGGATCAACACACGAATAATCTTTCACGGGGGTGTGTGTGTGTGTGTGTGTGTTAGTAATCTCAAATTAAAAGCTTTTCCTTGGGAGAAGAAATTGTTTGGATTTTAATGATATCCTTAAATCAGCTAAAAAGCATTAACCAAGCTTTCTGTATGATTTAAAATATATGATCTATTCTGCAGGTACTAACCTAGTGTTTGAACTTACATTGGCTAACAAAAAAAGTTTTATATTAAAGACCAAGATCACAAAAAGTATAAGGAAAGGGAAATACTCTCAAATTCTTTTTAATCTCTGCCAAGCTGTGGGAAATTAAAGAGTGCGTATGGATCAGTAAATTCAAAACTGCTAAGAAATATTTTGCTTGTTTGCATCATGTGTTCAGCTGTGGATTCAGCTGTGCTGAATTTAGTAAGTTTTGTTTTATAGCTCTTTAAAATACACAATATAGTGAATAAATCAGTTGGAATAAACGTACACTGACCTGGCTCTAGATTTTTCTTCAAAACAAAAGTCAAATAGTTTGGACACTTAAAGGGCCTGATGAACATTTTATTTTAATATCATATAGACATACTGCAAATTCTCTATTTGACCCAGAACTTTAAAACATATAGTTATAACAAAATCTCTGGTTGAAGGAAGGGCTCTCGGCCTTGCGGCTCACCTCTTCAAATTTTAGCTGTTCTAAAGCTCATTAGGGTCTACAGACCAGGTGCTTTTTTGGATGGCAAAGAAACACTTCTTGGACTTCAAGCTGAAGTACTGGAGAAGTTCTAGGTGATTCAGAAGTTGGCGTTTCTGTTTGATCTCTTTAAAAATCCAGATCACAATAAATTTCTGAAACCTTTGGCACTCCAGAAGTTGTAGACTATATCTGCCATAATGCTCTTACAGTCACAATTCTGGAAATTGATCAGGGGAGATGTAGTCCACAACAGCTGGAGTGCTTAAGGTTGCCTACCTTGTTTTATCCTATAATTCTTATTTTTTTCATAATGCGCCCTATACTAATAGCAATATAATAACCAGAGTTTTCATAATTGGTCATTTCATAACTCGTTTGTTATAGCGGAAAATCCTTACTTGAATAGATGTGACTTGGCTTTGAATATTCAAAATCAGTGAAGCTAGTGTTCATGGGAGTGTTGGAATCATGGATTTGTAAATTGGAAATAATTGTTGGCATTCTATATAGAATTTTCATGATGGACAACAAAATGACTAAAATTATCATGAACGTATAGTCAGTTGATTTGGAAAAAATATATATGAAAACAACATATGATGGCAGATTTGTAATAATCAATTGCATTTCAATAGTGCCCAATAATTTAATCCAATCTGTAAATAAACAAGAATATCCTAATCATGTGTTTTAAATTGCATAATTATAGCAATTTTGTAAACAATCCAGTGGAGCTGCTGCTGTTAACACTTTACAGGTTGAAGGCGAAATAATCTATTGCATGTGCATTACATGACCCTCAGGCAAGGAAGTAGTTAAATGTGTTTTTAAACTATGTGAACTATAACAGTTTCACAATAAAGCAAAATAATTCAGATCCATTCATTCTACAGAACTTGACAATAAAGACCACTAACAGTAAATGTACAAAAATGTATGGATATTATTTATAATGAGGATTTTTTTTTTTTTCCTTTTTTTTACAAAATCAATGTGTCCTGATTTTTTGTAATAATTTAACAAGTGGGGGAAGGGAAGCAGTGGGTACAAATATGTGAGGTTTACATATATACACACCTTTCAATATTTTTTTTTTTTTACTCCTCTCGCTAAACCTTTTAAAATAGTCAAATAAAATTAGGAAGCATTACAGCACATTTTCAAGAATACAAAAACATAGTAAAATATAAAATTGTAAGAAAAAAAAAGTCCTATCATAATAGAGATTGTAAAGTGATGGCCTAGTACTAGATCATTAACCATTCAGTGATAGGTTGTTTAGATACTGGAGGGAGTTGAGGTTTTTGTATCTATTACAATTTTGGGGAATATGCTCATGTTGTGTATGTGACAACCAACATGCAAATAAACTAACAAATTAATTAAATCTCAATAAATTAATTCTGCTAACTGGCATATAGTAGGTATATTTGTACAAATTAGAGGGAAAAAAAGCTGTCGAAAGTTTGTTGCTATTTTATGTGGTTATTTTGAAAGTCATCGATATACTGTGGACTAGATATCTTTGTTGAATCCGTCTTGAATCTATGAGTGAGTTATTCCTGTGATGGACAAATTATTTACTGTGAACATAAGAAAGCACTGAATAATTTTTAACATCTTGGCACTAATTGTCCAGCTACAACATTACTGATAATTAATCATGCTGAGATTTTGTGTAACTGCTCAAATTTCATCAAGGGCTCTTCGAATAATACGAGTAGTGTTCATAATAATAATAACAATAATAATAGTAATTTGTATTCTCTTTTGAAGTCACATCATTATAATTGATTTCAGTAAATATTTCAGCAGTTAAATTCACTGCATTATTATTTTATTTTTAATTTCAAATTTACCATTTTGAAAATTCTTGTTCACAAAACCAGTAAATGTGATCGAATTTTACCTTAATTAGCTAAACAAATAGATTAGGAGTGGAAGATGTGAAATGTCCTTCTTGGCATCCTGAATTAGTTCTGTTTTCCATCTATGGCCTTAATTTAATACTTTTGGTTAAGCTTTCAAATTATCAAAATTGCTTAGAAAAACGTTCAAATGATTTATGTATAAAAGCCACAATTAAAATCCATGGGAATTTTTGGAGATAAATAAATTGACAAGTTTTTTTATCCGATTGCGATAATTTGAAAAGCTTTTTTAAAAGTATTAAATTGATGCGTTTTATAACGAGTAACTGTACAAAAAAAAGATTATTTACGAAAAGCTGACATCTTATTCTGCTTAGTTAGCTAATAAAGGTATCTCTTTTATTCTATTGATATCATAACGGCCTGACTAACATAGTATCACTCTATACCTTTGTCAGTATGTAAGTTTTAGCAAGTGCCAAGCTGGGGGACAAAGATTGCTTAACAACACAGAATTGAATTTCAAATGATCTATTCACGTAACAGTGACAAATTCCCAGGCTAAAGATTAATGTTCCTTTAGTCTTAATTGTACCGTTGGCTCTATGAATCGACCACAACTAGTGATGTTTTGGCTTAAACTGTATCTCTATACTATCAAATTCAGTTATATAGTAAAACTCAGATTGCATCTGGCCAGTCTAGGAATTACTACATATACCTAATGGGGCAAGCTTAGTTATATCGAATTTACATTTATTATTACTTGAAGTGATACGTAAGCCATTTTCCATATAGGCAGAACAGAGGCCAGTGAGTGGACTTCAAGTTGTTTTTGTGTAACAACTACCTATACAGTGGCTCAGATATGTAACTTGTTAGATAAAAATAAATAACCATTGCCAATCACTTAAATGGCTATATACCAAATAACATAGCAACCATTACGCAGCAAACAATACAGTTTAAATTCCAGTAGAATATAATGTAAAAAGTCTTGTAGAGAAAAAAATATAGTCTGGTCATAAACAAGCAAGCATTTTTTTTTTTTTTTTTAACAATGACTATGTAGATCCTTCAGCCTTCCTTTTGGTTCTTTTGGTCTGCTCATTTTTCATCAGAATCTCAGAAATTTTCTTTGGCTAGGAGATTTTTGAAATAAATCACAGGACCAAAACATGGATGCAGAACACAGATGTAGAACATAGATCTTCTCTTTCAAATAATTTTTTTCATGGTGTAATTAATTAACGTGTCATGTCAGTCACTGCTAGCATTAACCCTTCATGGCATGTACCACATTTCATTCTTTGCCTATATAAATTAAGAATAAACATAACTCATCTGTCAGAAAGACCATATAATTAAAGTAATAAACATTAAAAAAAAAATTACAAATATTCCCGGCAATGCCCTTTTTCAGGTTTTTACACATAATTATGACTAAAAGCCATTTGCTTCCAAACAATAAAACGTATAAAATAAATACATTTCCAACAAATAAATATTCCGTTATTTTCATAGACATTGACAATGTTAAACACAACATCGCACTCATTAAAGAGAAGACCAAAAATCTAGTTTTGCAATACCATGTTTCTGACTTTGGTTAATACAGAAGATATCCTAGTGAATGAGCACTTAATACCTGAAAGTCTACAATTCATCCTCCAGGTGGCAGTCTTTCTCTTTTAATAGGTAAAAGTTTCTCTTGGTTTTCAAACACAGTTCCCATTGTCATAATATACAGAAAATGTATGCAGTTATTTGGTTTTTTTTGTGAAGTCCATAAAAAAGTACATTTATTTTTTCCCTTTTACGACTACTTCTACCACGGACACATACACACTAAGTGCTGTGCATTGTATTTGGAAAACTCATAAATACATTAATAAATGTTCTGTCCTTTAGTCTGTTTTCTCAGTCTATTTACTTACAATGTTGATGAACAGGCTTTTCGCAGAGTTCAGTCTCAAAGTTTTAGGAATTTTCTTCCATTGGGTCTGTTAAAGACTCCATTGGGACTCCTGTGCCTGGTTCGTGTTTTAAACGTTTAATTGTGTTCTTGAGAGCTTGCCGTTTATTACAGAACCAAACTCTAACCACTTCCCGGTCATAGTTCAGCTTTTCTGCAATTTCTGTCATTTCCTGCCCGGAAGGGTGCGTGTTTTTCTCAAAATGGGCATTCAAGATCTCTAGAGCCTGTGGGGTAAACGAAGTGCGCCTCTTGCGCTTTTTTGAAGGTTCGCTTCCGATAAACTCTGTCAGATTCTGCATACCTGCTCGGTGGCGGGCCTCAGCCTCAGCCATCCACCGCTCAAGGACAGGTTTTATCTTCTGGGCGCTTTTTGGGGTGATGTCCAGCTTTTCAAACCTGGCAGGATACAAAAGGCCAGGGTTCAGTTTGGCTGTCAGACTGCTAGCTATATTGTTCTCTTGGGCTTCCTGTGGTAGGAAAAAGTGGCTTCTCAGGATGGTGTGTCTGAGGGGAAAATTGAAAAAGAAGAGTCTTACACTGATGCTCTGCCAGGTGGGATACCCTGCCTGCCTAACTAATGGACTGGCAGAGGTAATTTACAATTCACTTAATGTAGAATGACAAGCTGCACTAAAATAAAACAGTAGCCAATCAACAGGCGTGGTTTAATGGATGCAGACATTTTAAACATAAAACACACTCAAAGCAAAACAAGCAAAAACAAACAAAAAATAATAACAAGCAAGACATCAAGTGTTTTTTATATAGGTGTAGTGTATAGATAGGCTTGTTCTGCATGTGCTATATTGCTTTAATATGTCAGATAATTTGGATTATATATCAACCAGCGCATAAAACTATCCATATATATAATTTATACATATTAATTGTAATTTATTAGTACATTAACTGTTATTTCTCATATGTATTATGTGGCCATTTAGAGAATGTTGTGTTTAGTTTTTACTACTATTGTGAGATTCAACAAGGTAAATCAGGTGCCATTTTAATTGCAAAGTGCTAAATGTTGGGAAACATCCATTAATTTCCATGGTGATTGCTCCATGCTTATCTCTTTATCACAGAATAGCACCTGTTTTTGCCTTGATACAACTCACATTTTTATGTGAAAGCACACCTATCATCCTCCTTTCCACATTCTTAGGGTAGTGTGACTAGTGCTGCACCACACAGAAGGAAGTGTTACCACACAGAACTGGTCTTTGTGCTAATTTACCCAAGTAGCCATGGACAATGATATATTGAGGGAGATTTGCTGAGTTCAGAAAAGTGATGCAAAGTACAAGTGGGGCTATCACCATGGAAACCAAGAGACTCTTTCCTTTTAAATAGCATAATCTTTTCGAAAATTACAATTTAAAACTTAACCACAATGCACTAAAAATGTTTTTTATCCCTTAAGAAATAATGATTTAATAGTATGTCGCAACCAAATAAACCAACATTTAAAGATCAAATGTCAATATATATGTAATGTCCTACTCATTCACAATGCTGTATAGAGCTGCAAATGTAAAATAAGCCTGGACTCACTCCTGTGCCTCAGATAATATGTATTATTAGTGAAAACGCCTATATTATCCAAGCTACTGTGACTTTTGCAAGCTTGGCTTTTGGGTTACATGAGATCCCTTCTTAAATGTCATGCAGCAAAACAATAAACTGTGCTGGTTTTGATTTTAAGAGTGTCCCTTCAACATACCTCTCAAACGTCCCGGGTTATGCAGGGCAGTTTTAGTTTCAGGATCATGTCCTGTAATGCCAGGTTTGTTCCCTGGTGTCCCTAGCACAGTATGACTCAAAGCATTGAGCTCAAAGACTGAACACTTCAGAGGTGCTCTTAGCATGAGCAGCACTGTGTATTGACAGACCGACCCTCTTTCAAATCGTTGCCCTTGCCCCACTTTGACTATCCCTCCATTCTCCCAAAGTTGAAATGTATAATTTAATGTATTCAGCCATCAATGACATCCCAGATTGCAACTTCTGCAATTGCGTCACTGGCTTTACCCAGATGCGGCGTATGCAAAAACGACAATTTATGGTAATACAGAAATGGATATCAGATGCCATTTACTATCAAAGCTTGCAGGGTCTTAGAAGAGTCACACGTTTTACATTTGTTCTTTATCCTTTAATATTAAAGCATCAGGTTTATAGTTGATGCTTCCCTTGGCTGTTTTAAGCCAAACATGTATTCTAAACAACAGAAAATGTTGTTCAAAGTACAGACATTTACAGTTTAAACAGGGCTCGTTAAGAGAAGCTAGAGGTATCAAGCAGAGAGATATCTATAGATGCTTAGACATGGTGATTTTAGTAGATGCCAAAGAGGCACTTAGTAGCTCACTTGGAACAAACAGAAGTATAACACATGAATGCATAATGCTATGTATGTCAGTGATATCTACTGTTCTTACATACCTAGAAAGCAAACACTCCAGTGTTAAAACGTGTAATCAGTTATAAAGGTTAGAGTGCTTCTTTAACCCTAACAATGATAGATACCAAACTCACCTAATTAATAGGATAAATATTACTCATCTTTTAATCCAGCATTGAGTCACCTATCACTGCTGCTTTGCCACAGGGAGACTGTCAGTAGTCCTCTCTTATTTGGAGAAAATCGGTGCATGCAGGGCAATTGCCACTAATATGCTAGGCAGACTGAGGGATCATGGCAATCATCCAAAAAATGCTTCTCATAGGGAAGCATTGACCAATGCTTCTCTATGAAAACTCTACACGTGTGCTTCAACAATAAGGAACCAGGAAGTCCTGCAGGCTTTCATCTTAAATGCCAGTAGAATGTTCCTAAATGGTCCCTAATCAATTCATAAAAGTGAGTGTATCATTTTATTGATTTTATTTAAGTGAACGTGTATGAATCGGGACAAGGGGGCATTCAGTTAACCACTAAAGCTCTTTAGGTATTTGGTTTCCCTTTAAGTGAGCTTTTTGAAGGGGAATAGAATGAAGATAAGAATGGATTCCATCCACCTTGTTAAACTTGTTCTTAAAGATGTATACATGCATTTTCTCACCTTGAAGAAATATGCCCACTTTGAAAAATTTGCTTTTATATATTAATCTGGAATATTTAGGCACCACATTTTAATTATGTCACCTTGTTCTCCTTTAAAAAAAAAAAAAAATAATAAAAAAAAAATAAAAATATATATATATATATATATATATATAGTATAATGCTAAATTATAAGGAATGTATGACATGGGAATGTGGGGTAAGTAGATCTAAGAGGCATGCCTGTGATGCCACTTGCATAACTGGTGATTCCCAAAACAGGACAGGCCAGAGAAAGATGGAGCAGCCTGGCCTAAATGCATGCCATGCTGACTAACACTCGGACTAGTGAGCCACACTCAAGGAAGCACATGTGCTGTGGTGTGATTTTGCACGGTTTAATGTGCTGACAAAATTTTTTATAGAAAGGGCATCTTTCGATGCGCTTGAGCTATGCTGAGTGGGGTCATTTAAATTTTTAAAACTTAGTCTGAAATAGCCCAGTTTGAAAACATATCTATAAATAGGCTATTTAGGACTAGATCTTGCAAGGGGCTTGTTTGCTCATCAAAACGTAAGCCTACATTTATTTCCTAAACGGTGAAAATAATTCTTGTGAGTCAATGACTAATAAGCAAATTTAGCAACACGTATCGGAGTTAAAAAAATAAATGAAAAAAAACTCTTATGCACCCCACCTTAATTAACCTACACATGGAATGTGGCAACATATTTTAATGCTTCTCAGTGGGTTATACAACATTTCTTAATTTATTTTAGACCTCGGGCACAAAACAAGCAAATTGAAAACATTCTATCCTTCAACAAAATTTGGGGACAATTAAGGGTATTTAAATATTTGAATTCTTAAAAGTTTTTTGCCAATGTGATTTTTTACATAGTGCATACTAAATATGCACTCACTACTGAAAACCCCAGACGATTTATTGAAAAGCATCAAATTGCAAACGTTTATTGACCCCTGTCCCTTTCTCAATGCACCTTGTCCTTAGGGGCATTGTGCATTGAGAAAGGGATGGGTATTCCAAAACGTATGTGATTTGGTGCTCTTCAAGAAATGTTCTAGAGTTTTTTTACTAATGTCGCTTAACTAATTGTGCCTTTTCTATGTTTCTGAGACTTATGCTTCATACTGAAGTACAACTGCATTTTTTGCACAAATGCAGCTCTGGTGTGAACATTTTTCTTTCGACACTGTAGTGACCACGCTCCACATCTGTTTTGTTTAACTGTGCACTTATATTGCCTTTGTTAGATAAAAAAATTGGAGATTCATAAATTTAAGTAATTTACAGTTAATGAAAATAAAACGGGACAAAACCTAAAACTGTCATTACGAGTTGCAATACACCATAAGCGACATATAAAATGCCCTACACTATTTACCATGCTGTATGTATTAATTAGGATTAAAAAAAACATTTAGATAGCCTTGTTGGTTTGATATCCAAACTATCAAAATTACTTTCTAGTTTTGTACTAGAAAATTTTTAAAAAAATATTAACTTGTGTGATTCATTATGGAATAATTCGGTATATTCTTTCATTTTCTCTTTAGGAATTACAGTATTCAACAGAGAAGTAGCATTTAGATCATTGGTGTTTGAGTCTCCACTACATGATGTTTGGTATAACAATATACAAGTCAGGAAACAAATTTCGCAGCAGTGGTATCCTTGTATAGCCTGAATAAAGGTTATTTTCTACAGGGAGGTATCTTATAAGAAAAAACAGTAGGGG